CAAGGTGCATGAATTCGTGCACTGGACCCCTAGTTCTTCATAACTACCTAATGATCTAGGCTCAATTATTGTTCCCAATTTATAGATGAGCAAATTGAGACACTTTGAAATAACTTTCTTAGGGCATACTGGTAAGTGAAAGGTCCAAGATTCAAACCCATGTAGTTTGGCCTTACATGATTAATCATTTCATCTGCCTCAACAGACCATGCCCACCTCCTCCAACTCTAGGAGCCTTCTAGAGATTCCACAACTGAGCACTCTATAGTTCCAGACTCTATACTAGGTACTGTGGGGAAAGCTACAAAGAAGAAATGAATAAAGTTCCTGCCTTTACGAAGTGACTGACCTGGAAAGAAAGATGTAAGTCTAGAGGCATCCATGACCCTATGATAGGGAGGAAACAGATGAGAGAGAATGAAGCCAGTACATCACCTGACTCAGAAAAGGGAGGTGGAAGAGAAAGACCCCTGTTCCAGCCAACTGGGCCCTTCCTGGGGCTCGGTAATTTGGTTTTACCTTCAATTCTGTGATTGTCCCTCTATTCTTCTAACTTAAACCTCACTTTTTTGCTTAAGCAAATTTAATTCAGGATTTTGATCCTTGTGACAGCTTTAAATAATAAAGGCAAGAAGTTCCTGAGTTCCAATTTGGAAAGGAGGGGACAGGCAAGGAAGATGGGCCAGAGGCAGAACTGAAAGAATATGGTCACCAATTTGATGAGTCATGTAAGTGAAGGGGTGTCTAAGGGGAAGTCCCAAGCTATAGGCTTGAGAGATTGGAGAGAGATGGTGGTATCTTTAGCAGAAGTAGACAATTCAGAAGATAAACTGTATGGAGGGTAAGGTGGGGGTGGAGGAAAAGAAAATGCAATCCTTCAGTTATTCTCTCATTCACTGAACAATTGTTTTTCCAAGCCCTATCTCAACACTGGAGAATCAATAGTGCATAAGGTGAGCTCCGATTTGGATAGTATCTGTGGGCCATCATTGTCTTAATTACTGAGCCAACAGTAAGCACCAACTATGGCCCATGCACTGTCTTTAGAACTGAGCACAAATCCAGGCAGTGATGTCCAGCAGGCAGCTGGAAAGAGGTGTGACCTGGCATTTCTGTTGGAAGATACTTTTGGAAGTGGTGGGAGAAAGCTCTCAGAGAAGAGAAGTCTAGTTCTGCAGGCCTTGTCTATCGAGCCTGGGCTTCATCCGTGAGCTGAGAACACAATGTTTCTTTGGCCTGTGTGGCTGAGCGCAGGCACTGAAAGAGCTTGGGTGTAGGAGTCCAATCTGGTGCCAGCCCGGATTTACACACCAGCCCATGAATGACCCGAATGAGTTGGGCTTGCCTGTCAGAGTCTTGGTTCCCTCAGCTACAAAATGAGGGTATGAATGCTCATCTGAGAGCTGAGAGTAAGAAAGAATGTACAAGGCCATTCACTCAACCACAAACAGGGAGTGAACACCTACATGTACCAAGTTCTGGATAAAGGACTTAAACAGAAGCCAGTGTGAGGGGGTTCATCTGGCATCTGTGAAAGCTTTGGGGCTGCCACGGCTGGGTTTTGATTCACCTCAAACGGCTGATTCCTATGTGCCCACCAGGAATCAATACCAATCTGCCCCTGCCCCAGCCTATTAAAAAAAAGTGATCTTTTGTATCGATGAGAGAAGAAAGAGAAAAATGCAGGTTTTGCTGTCCTCGGCAGAGTTTTCCTGAGCGGCAGAAAAAGGGCCCACGTGAACCATGCTGTTCTTGGCAGCCACTACTCCACTCCTCACAGCCAGAGGCTTAAAGCGTTATTTGTGGTTTAAGTTACAAGCAAGGGCGAAACCCCAGAAAAGGGGGGAGGAGGGGCGAAAACATTTTAAAAGTTGAGAAAATTGCCCTGTGTTCTCAAGTGCAGGCAATTTGTCCAAACACCTGAGCTCTGTAGAATCCTAGTGGTCTGCCTGTGGTTTTACATTCTGGGGCTCTGGGCCCAGTGCTGGGGGTGGGGGACGTTTTTCATACATTAAGAAAATCACAAAATCACTTTTTATGAGATATTAATGAATAGCTTTACTGCTTCAATGGCGATATTGTTGGAGGTTTTGAAAAAAATCCAAGTCCGCGGTTGGGGGTGGTGTTGTTTTGAAGATTGCTGCATAAAGCATTTCACAGTCATTATAGGGGAGTCTGGGCGTTGCTCCCCAGATCCCACAGCAGAGGACACTGAACATTTTAGGCATAGAAGAGCCTTTTAAGGCCTTCAAGTTAAGTCCAACCCTCTCCTTACATTGATGATAAAAACAAGGCCCAGAGAAGGTAAGAAATATGCCAAACATAGCACAGCATGTTTGTGGTAGAAGCGAGTCTAGACCCCAGGCTCCTGGACTCCCAGCAGCCTTTGAGGCAGCCCAGAGGTGACATTCCACCTCAGAAACCACGGCTGGCCTCCCCTTCGTGTTGACATTTCTGCGGCAGTGACTTTGAAAGCTGCCTTTTATGGTTCTGGCTTTGGAAGGGCAAACACTGCTATCAGTAGAATAACACAGGTGGCTTCTAGAGTTGGGCCCAGGTGGAGTGGGGCAGGAAGTGAGGCCCCGCGCACAGGCAGACATGACCCAATCACCTGTCTGGGTTCAGAAGGGTACACAGGCTTTCCTCGGGGAATGGGACAAGAGGCCAGTGTGCTGGTGAAGGGCTTGGCTTTGCGGCAGACAAGATGGACTCAAGTCCCCACGGCCTTACTTGCCAACTGTGCAACTTCCACAAGCTCCCTGACCGGGCTATGAAGCAGAGATCACCATCGCAGTCCCATCAGCCATGTGTTATAATGACTAGTGTATTGGATAGCACAGGTACACGATTATCAAAGAAAGTTCTGTTGGCTGATGCTGGTAGGGGCACTGGGCTGTTGACAGGGGTGCCTGGTGCTGGATCTCACCCTCCTGAGCCACCTGAAAACAGGGCTGGCCCAGGTGAGGTCTTCAGCTCTCAGGGCTCAGGCTCATGTGGAGATACCCAGGGCTCCAGGCTCCTCTCTATTCCTTGGTCCTCTCTAATGCTGCAAGGATTTGGCTTCAGCTTGGGAACCTGGCCGAGTGCCTCTCCCATGCTTCCTGGAGCAAAATCCCAGGGAGGAAGGAGGTGTGCAGCCAGAGGCAAGTGGCTGGGAATACCTGAGGCAAATGCTGAATGTAGAGTGAGAAAGCCTTGCATTCGAATCCTGGCTCACCCACTTGGTGTTAGTGGCCCTGGGTAAGTCAATGAAACTCTGCGACTCAGTTTCCACATCGGTGCTCTCTCTGCCTGCCACATCATGAACTAGTGAGAGAATGAGTCAGTGGAGGTAAAAACACTTAGTAAATGAAGTACACACTTAGTAATACTTAGTAAAGAATGGGAAACTCCTAAAAGTAGGGGCTTGCCTTTCTCTTGTTCAGCCTCTTTCTTCACCAAAAGGGTATTTAGATAGAGGGATGCAGGCAGCTGCCTTTGAATCTCTGTAAATCCATGTTGTGCTACTTGGAAACATTCTCCAGAAGTCAGGAGATTACGAGAAGCTGGTCTCCCAGAGACACCCTGGAGGAAGAGGGGCTGGGGAAGGAGAGAAAGGGGACACATTCTTTGAACACCGATAATGTACTAGTTACTGTGATAGTCACTTTCATACATGAAAAGAGATGGTGATGATGATGGCAAACTTTATCAACAGGGACAGTTCTCAGTGCTTTACACATATTAACCCCATTTTGTAGATGAGGAAACTGAGACAAGAGAAGTTACAATAAGTCAGCAGGGTCACCCTAAGCTGAGGTCTGCATCCCAGCTGTGTGCCTCCTGGGGCCCTGCGTGTGACCATCACATAACCCTGCTCCCATAGTCTGCATCTTGTTGGGGTCTCCACACCTGCCCCTTTCAGACAAGGAAACTGAGGCTCAGGGAAATTAGGCTCACACAGAGGAGGGAGAAGAGGTTCCTCCAGTTTTTTGTTTTTTCTTCAAAAGTATTTCCTTCTTTGGCTATCTTTTTAAATGATAGAAGACATTATTCAATTTGAGTCTAAATCTAGCTTCCTATTACTTTCTTGCTTGAAACTTACTTTTTCCTTTGGGTCAGAAAGAAGAAATCTACTGCCTCATCCATAGGGAAACCTCTGGGATACCCAATTCCCAGTCTCCCACTTCTCCCTTCTGTTCCTCAGGAAAAAGCAATGCAGGTCCATCAGCCTAGACAAGGAGGACAACATCACCCCCTTCTGTGTTCTGGTTCTGAGCTTTAGGACAAGTTCTGGTTTGACTATGACAATCTGAAAATTTGGAACTAGAATTTAACCCCACATTCCAGCTCTAGTCTGACTTCAGAGGAAGTGCAATGTCATCTTACGTTTTGACACTATGCTCCTAGTGATACATCCCAAGTTCACATTATCTCTTTTGGCAGCCACCTCCACATTGCTGACTCATGACTCCCTCATGTCCTAATTTCCTGTTCATTATCCTTTCCTCTACTTGGCCTGATTTCTTAAGACCTCTCTGGTTACATTACGCTGAGATGCTTGAAGAATCCCTTTAGCAAGTAACTTGGAGAAGCCCTCAGATTTGGGGCTAGTTAATCCACACCCTCAAATGAAGGCCTTCAAAATCTCAAAGATAGTTGGATCCAGAGGGGACTGGAAAAGGCTCTCTGACCCCAGGGGAGCCAGCAGACAGAGGACTATTTCATCAAGAGTCAGATTCGTAAGTGACTGGAAGATACTCCTTCTAGAGGAGCAAATGCTGCTGCCATCTTGTCACTTTCAGAAGAGCTTGGGAGCCACAGTCCATTCATACTTCAGAGTAGTGATTGGTCATCGAGGCTGAAACCCAACAAGCTTGGACTCAAAGCCACTTACCAACTCTATGACTTCAGGCCAAGGACAACATCTCTAAGCCTCAATTTCTCTCTGTAAAACTGAGGCCATAATGGTACCCCATCGTGATGTTGACAGAGTGAAAAAAAATGAGTAAATGACTTACCCCAGGGCCTTGGTCCATGGTGGGAGCTCAGCTTTTGTGATGACTTCTTCAAGCCTGTGTTCTCTCATTCCAGCATTTATTCAGCAATTATTCACCAAGAGTGGGCAGGGGCAGCTGGGTGCTACAGAGGGAAAATGCAGATGCTAACAAAAGCCTGAGAGCAAGCTCAGCTCTGGAAGCTAAAGATGCTTCCAGGGAACTAGCTAAATGCTCTACAGAAAACTCTCTGGTTCTGGATTTGGACTGCTGGCCACAACACCCACTTCACACCCCCCTACACACACACACACACATACACACACACACACACCTTCTCCTGGGCCATTTCTGAGTTTGAAGCTTCTCAGATTACTCTCAATGTGACCTTCCACAAATCCCATAACTCATAGCCTCTGGCACATTTCTTATAAAACAGATAGTAATACCCACAGAGCTGAGTTTTTGTAGTAGATCAAACAGTGACATATGTAAAGTGGCCAGCCAAGCCCGAATTTGGCCAATGCTCCATAACTTTTAGCTGCATTTCCCCACCACTCCCTCTGCCTGCCAGTCCTCTACTATCACATGCCAAGCTTGGGCTAGATGCTGGTGGCCAAGAGGTTAATGAGAAGTCCATAGAGAATGTAAAGTTTTTGGGGGATAAACATTTCAATCTCCAACCCAAATAGAGAAGTGTTAAGGACTCTGATGGACTTATGTCCAAGGCAATGTGGGAACACCAGGAAGGTCAAATCACTTTGCCTGGCCTGCCCTCAGTTTCCGCATCTGTCAAAGGGGTGCAATTTGTTTCTATCTCACATGAGATGACTCAGTGAGTTAGTAAATGTGAAACTATATTGGAAAGTTGAGTTCTGTTCTCTATTTATTTATCTGGTTCCTCATTATACTTGAACCCACTGAGGGAGGGCCTATCCCCAGCACATTAATACAGAGTAGGTCCACAGTGGATGAGTGAACTGTTATAAGAATTTATGATCTAATTTTATCCCTGCAGACCCCAAGAGGTTTCCCTATTTTATAGATGGAGAGAAATCAGAGCACAGAGTTCAAAGAGTTGCCTGGCAACCAGTGACTAAGCCAGGCACCTTCAGACCTGCTCTGATGACCTTTCCACTAGATTCTACCACACAGGCCACTCTGGCTGGGGTGGGGAGCCACTGCTCGGGCGGACACGATTAACCTTTCTCCGTAGGTCACTGAGCCAACCCACCAGCCTCTCACACTGAGTCATGGACTGAGGTGGACCTGAGACCTGAGGAGAAAGCAGAGCTGCCCTGTTGAATAGGTGTGCCAGGGATTCCCTCAGGCCAGCACATCGCCTGGGAAATCCCTCATGCAGGGTGAAGATGGGGCAAGTACAGAGACGTCATGCTAGGTCCACTCCCCTCTTTCACAAGAGCGTCTGAAGGACAACACCTAACTGTCCCCAGTGGGCCATCACTCAGAGGCATCCCTTCCTCCCCACTCCCAGGGCTAACACCCTAACATCCATCCTACCATCTTTTGTCTTGACTGGGCTCCCAGCTCCACTCTATTAACCTAAGAACTTGAGTGACCAGATATAGTCACACATTATGACTATAGCATGCTTATGTTCAAAAAATCTTTAACAACTCCCTAGTACATAGGGAATAAAGTCAGCGTGGCCTTCAAGGCCCTCCTGATTACACCTCATGCTTCTCATATACTCTTAGGTTCTCTATAGAGGAGATTAATACACACTGAGGGAAAACAACTAACTGCTCGTCAAAGACCCAATTTCTAAACTAAAGGCTTTCTCTGAGGGAAGGTCCAGTTGTGTGATTTTGAAAAAATGAGTAACCCTCCCTAAGTCATATGACCTTGGGCAAGTCATTTTACCACTGAAGCCCATTCTCTATCAGTTAAATGGAGATAAGAATACAATCATATCCACCTCACAGGATTGCTGGGTGGCTTAACAGACATTGTGAAAAACATAAGAAAATAATTTTGACAATATGCTTTATTTACCCATTATATCCAAAATATTATCAATTCAACACCTACTCAATTGACATGGCTAATGAGACATTCTATTCTTCATACTAAGACTTTGAAATCCAGTGTGTGTTTCATATTCATAACACATCTCAATTCAAGCCAGGCACGTTTCAAGTATTGAATAACCACAGGCGGCTGGTGGCTACTGAGGTAGACAGTGCGGGTCAGGACTCATGTAAGTGCCCTTGCTGGGTGCTCCCCTGGCACCTGTACTTACAAGGGAAGAAATAACCCTTCCCATGGCAAGCGTTTCTACTTGACTTACCTGCAAGCAATTCCCGTAAGGAGAGGGAATGAGTGGTATCCCCAGGGCCTGACATAGTACCTAGCACAGAGCAGACACTTAATAAATACTTGTTAAACAAATATTATTCAGTTCTCTACCCCCAATACCCAGCCCAGTGCTTGACCCTCAGTAGGCATTTAATAAAGACTTATTAAATTAATGAAGTAACGACCCGGTATTTTAATGGTAAGTGAGTTTGCGATTTGCCAGCAGGTGAAAACCAGGCAGTTTATTGCAGGGGAGACAATGGTACCTTTCTAGCCCTGAAGGTAACACCTGCCATTAAGTCAAGTTTCCTTCGCCACCTCCTTCCCCCAAAACAAAACTGGAGCCAGATGGGAAGCCGTGGGCCTGCACATTCGGGAGAGATCCCCCAATTCCTGGCCTGCAGTGATAGGCAAGCATATCAAGTTCCCATAAAGAAATAAAGTTAACTCCCAAAGAAGGCCTAATTGCTCTCTCTCACTTTATTCATTTTCTTTCAAGATCAATTCAGCAATGCACAAGGTGAGAGGCTCCAAAAACCTGCCAGGCATTGTGTAACAGAAATCTAGTAAGAAAACTTTACATTAGGTCAGTAATAATCACAACGATGGGGCATTTCAGCCTCGGCATCTCTGCTCACAAACTTGATGACCTGAAGCAACCTGTGTCCCTCCCATGAGCATGAACTTGCCCGTGTGCAGGCTGGGAGTGACGGCACAGACGTCTGGCCAGGCCTTTGCGAGGACTCTGTAAGAGCAGAGTTCCCCCGCACACACCCATGCTCAGTGACTGCTCACTTGCATTGTTCCCTCACTGAACCTGCAGGCTCTCCCCAGTTTGCAAAATGAGCCTTCGTATTATTTTTGTCTTGAGGTCAGCCATAGGCTGGATGATTTTCTTAGAGCTGTGGAGAGCTTTCTTTCCCCTCCTTGTGGACAACTCACACAAACACTATTTGGAAAGATCTGGGCGAGTCGTCTCTCTGGAGTCTGGTGGCAGGCCAGGAGGCCGGTCACAAAGGCTGCATTCAGCTGCAAACAGCAGCCTGATGGGCAGGGGCCATGTCCCAAACATTCTTGACTAGGCATGGGGGTGGGGAGGGAGGTGTTACCGGCCTCCAAATATTTGTTGCTCTATCGCCATAGCAACTGCAGTGGCCATAGTGAAACCTTGAAACTGCACATCGAAACTTGGGAGGTGCTGCAAAGTCAGGCCTGATTGGGAGAAGGCTTTCCCCTGGACTTCCCCTCTGCTCTCTCTCTGAGGAGCTTTCCAGCTCCTTTCAAAAGGCACTAAAGACAAGCTATTATGCTGGCTGCACACAGTCTGATGCCTGCTGTAACGAAAGATGTTTGTGCAGAGACTGTACCAAATTGCCCAGGACAGCTTTTAAGAGACTTACATCAGATGGAGTGGCCTGGGACAGTGACACTGCCTACTTGTGTGACCTTGGGCAAGTCACTTACAGTCACGGAGCCCTTTCCGGGGTGGGGGGGGGGGTCAAGCCCAATTCCCAGTTCAGTCAACTCTTACTGACATCTACCCTGGGCTACTGCAAAGCTAAAAACACATGGCTATTGTTCTCGGGGAGCTCATAGAACCTACCAGGCAGAGCTGTGTTAAATAGCAGGTTGCATCACACCAGGTGCCCACTGCCCATCCCCCAGTGGGGACCAGATATACTATAAAAGTTGATTTCCCTTCCTTCTTCATACTGGGCTACTCCAAAGATAGCCCTGAAAGATTAACAAGAGCCCAGCTACTTTCATAACATTCTTCTCACATCCAAGGTAAACTTACCAGTCTGAGCATAACTGGGAATGAACTGAACTTTTATCGATTTTATACATTTTATCTTCATTACAACACGCTTTCACAACCCATATCTCTCTTTTTTAAATATTTTTATTGATTTTTTTACAGAGAGGAAGGGAGAGGAATAGAGAGTCAGAAACATTGATGAGAGAGAAACATCGATCAGCTGCCTCCTGCACACCCCCCACTGGGGATGTGCTCACAACCAAGGTACATGCCCTTGACTGGAATCGAACCTGGGACCCTTTAGTCCCCAGGCTAACGCTCTATCCACTGAGCCAAACCGGTCAGGGCACAACCCATATCTCATTGGACTTTCATAACTATCTGTTGGATTTGGAAGGGCAAGAATTGTTTTTCACTCTAGAGTGAAGGTACTAAGGCACAAAGGCAAAGTGATTTGCCAGGCCACAAAGGGAATTAGGGGCAGAGAAGGAATTCAAACACATATTTCCCAAATTATTATTTTAATAAATATTTCTTGAGCAGCTACCAGGTGCCAACATTGTTCTAGAATCTAGACACTGAGGTTAAAGCAGTGAACAAAATAAATTTCTGTTAAAGAGCTTAAGTTCTAGAGGAGAGAAGATGACTATTAATAATCACATAAATACATATTTTATCAGGTAGAAATAAGCAATATGGAGAAAAAATAAGCAGAGTAAAGAAAGCAGTGGTACAGGCTACTATTTTCTATAGGGCCTTCTGGTGAGTTCTTTCCAAGGAGACCAAAAGAACTGAGGAGCTGGCTCTGTGGATACCATCGTGAGAGAGTCTCTCGGCAGGAAGAAGAGTGAGGCTCGAGGCCCCAAGGTAGGAACATGTTGGCATGTTTGTGGAACAGCCAGAAGACCAGTGCAGCTAGGCAGAGAGGGGTGGGGAGACTGGCAGGAGATGAGGCCAAAGAAGGTGTGAGGGCCTCTTAGGAGGTGGAATGACCTTTGGGTTTCAACCTGACTGAGAATGAAGCCATTGGAGGGCTTTGGACAAAGGAGTGACATGAGTGACCTGGC